GTTACTACTAGCGCTCTTGCTCCTAGTAGTAAGGCACTTGTTTCTACTAGCTTCTTGTTTTTACTAATAAGGCACTTGTTACTAGTAGCGATGCAAGGTAGCTCTGCAAGAAGACACAGTCAAATACGTCACATACTTCTCCTGCCTGAGATGAAGAAGCGCCCTTCCTCAGTAGACATGGAGATACATAGAAATTGCATAGTTTTTGCTTTGCAATTTGCTCAACTGTGTTGGGTGTTTGAGCAAACCTAAGGATGCAAGGCTACAAGATTCTTGGGAAGCGGCTCAAAGTGGAGTTCAAGAAAGGTGGCTCCGTCGCATACCTTCTATAAAAGCAATCTACTGTAAGCTTTCCAACCCAAACATTGATTTTTCCATGCTGCGTTTCAGATTAAATATACATGGATATATCACGCTTCATATCAATCAAGATGACCAGGTTGTCCTCTCTATTTCTTTTGCATGTTGTCCTCTTGGACGACCAAGGCGAAGGTGATGGGAAGGAAGACAAGGAAGAGGAAAAGGCCACCGGCGACGACGAGCGGCTAATTGGCTATTTGAGAGCCATCTCAGCCAAGTCTGTGGTGCAGTCGCTCAAGGAGTCCAAAAAGGAAGAGAAGACAAGAAAAGAAAAGGAAGAAAGATCTAATATAGTTTGCTACTAGGTTCTACTAGGTCGGAGGCCATCGCTAGTAGGTTGCAGTCGCTCAAGGAGTCCGAAAAGGAGGAGAAGACCTTGGACGACATGGCCGATGGCGAGGATGATTAGAAGGAGCTGGCAAGTTGGTTCTTTCGTTTGTTTTTTGCTTTCCGCCTAGATCTACAGGATGTCCAGTCTTTCAATGTATCAATCAGGACTCATCCATGTTCTTTCGCCAGAGTGTTGTATCAAGGACCCACAGGGGGGGAAGGTAGGTCACAACCTTTGGTGGCAGCGATTCTGAAGAAATATCCAGATACAGCTGGAGATCAAGACCACCAGAGAGAATCAGCGGAGTTTGGCCACAGACCAAGACTGCTCCGATCATGTTTTCGCCTGATTTGTCTCACTGCCGCACAGATGAGGCGCGGGAAACTCGCGGTGAAGCCAATGAAAATGGTGTCCTCGTGCTCTAATGGTTGGTTCACGCCAGGGTGCAAAACGAGGCTCCCAGAAGCTCCAAAGAAAGTGGGTATTGGTTGGAAATTGAAACCAAGACTCCTTCGGCATGATAAATCGTGTTAGAAGAAAACAGCTTTTCTCGGAAAAGCGACACTGAGGTGGTGGAGTTTGGCGCTGGCACCGGGCACTTGGGCCTTTTGGTGGCCACGTTGCGTCCGGATGTGTCTGTGGTGTTGGTGGAGGTGCGGAGGGTGGGTTTTGCGGTGGCTTTTTTGTGGTGTTTGTTGCGAAGAGATCGTTTCTTTTCTTTCCTTTTCTTCATGCTTCAAAGCCTATGTGTTGTTTGTTTCTTTAGATCTTGTTCCTTCTCCTTTAAACCTTTAAAGAGCTGTTTGACCATTTTTCCTTTGCTCTTTGCTAGAGTGTCCATGTGGTTTGGATCAGGGTTGCAGGAGACGGTGAGGTGTGTTGGAGGGTTGCCGGGATCTGTGCTCAGATGCCAGACAACGAACAGTGACTCTGAAAGGCTGTAAGGCTTGGAAATCAGTAACAATCAGTGTCACGTAAACAGGATTGGTTTTTGGTCTGTTTGTATTGATAGATGGCATCCCTCGACCCGCAAACCTTGCTAGGTGAAAGGGGATTTCAGGTGGAGCTACTAGAAGCATCCTTGATACTAGTAGCGATGCCCTTGTTACTAGTAGCGATGCCAGGAGCTACT